TCACTCCAATTATTCATGCATTTAGCCCTTTCATGCCCTTGAACATTGCAGGGCATTTATCAACATGTACAATAATTAATTTCTATGTTTTTGCCAAGAAGGGAGATTATCCGGGTTATCAGCAATGGTTTTCCCGCTCACCAACTACTATAACTTTTCTAACCAGAAAAAATTAATTAAAAGACTGTATCCAACTGAAAAGCTGCTGCAATAACCAGTGAGTAAAAAGTTCACAAAGATTCATTTGTCTTACAGAACAGGAAGTTCTGTGTTTACTTATAATTAATGCTACTTATAATGTCATGTGTTACCTATACACATACTTACTTACTTTCATTCCTTTTCATGATTCCTTTTTTTTTATTCATTCCTTTTTACAGATTTAAAGTTTTAGTATATAGGAATTATTAGAATAATCAGAAACCATTACAGCATGTAAAGTCCTTTTCTTACATTGTTCAGAAAAAAAATGTAGAAAAGAACAGTATTTTTAAAGAAACTAACATACAGAGAAAAAAAGTAAGTTAGTGTCTCCATTAAATCTGAGTCAGGACTAAAATCCATAACATTCACTCCAATAGGAATGAAATTGTGATCACAGGAGGATTTGCAATAAAAGGTAACTGAAAAACATGTACTTTCGTATATTTAACTTTCGCTACTTGAAACATTGAAAAGAAATTCTTTGGAGAGATAAAAATCTCCTAAGACAAAACTGTAAATTTGTTCTTGGAAAAAATGCTATGAAAAGTATTTTCATAATTTGGCACAATTGATAGCTATTTAAGAACAGGTTCGCACTGGAAAAAAAGGTCTCATTGGTTTTTGTCATATACTTTTTTGTACCTTTGAGAACTAACAGTATAAATAATATGCCACATCGCAATGCAATAGAATTTATAGTCTATATTTAAATTTTAATGTACTATGTCTTTTATATAATTTAAATAGTATTATTTATTACAAACCTCATGGCTATGAAGTGCAGTTCAGGCCTCTTGTGCATCATTTTTTAACAGAAACAGACATTCATATGCCTCTTTAGTAATAATACAAGAGTGAACACTGTCTGACAGTTTGTTAAACCACGACAGTTCCACACTGTCGTTTACACAGTTTTGCTGTATGAAGAGCAGAAGCATCATATTCACTGCTGCTTTTGAAAGCATTTTACCATTCAAATTAACTGAAAAATAATTTCAGGGGTCTTGTGAGAGCTCCACGTTAATGTAAGTCAGCTCATTGCGTATAGCAGCCCCAGAAATGTTTCTGAGATTTCTCCCCCCCAGAATGCATTATTGGATTCATGTGGAATGACTGACTGATGATGCTTCCCCCTCACTCCCTTACATGCTCACAACTCACTAGAACTGTGAAACCAGTTCAACCGTCTATCTTAAATCTCAACAGCTGGATTCCTAAAACTATTTTCAGAGTAGCTGATTTTCTCACCTATTGGGTATTCACTCGTCACTTGTGTGGAAGAATATCAACCTGACTGATGCAGCCCTGTCTACAGAACTGCACCTTTTTCTCTGTGACTCATTTTGTACACCCGGATGGTTTTACTATAATGGCACATGGCTCAGATTTTCCAGTACATTCAGTACATCTGCGGTCACATCAGGAATGTATGTCATAATAGTTTCTCCATAGTGGTAACATGCACTCAATTTGCAATGCCTGTGGAGGAAAAAATCTAGACAAAAAGATAAATATCAGCAGTGACACACGAACAAGTATATATCCACTAGATAATCCCAATTCTAACTAATAAACTTTTTTCAGGAAAGCTGGTAATTTGTCCCCAGGATAAATGCTCTGGATTCTAACTAGATCAGTCAAGCATACATTCTCCAACAAAGCTTGGAAAAGCATGTGAGGTTCAAGGAATTTTTGGAGGAGTGATAATTTTCAACTCAGAAAATGTGGAGGATATAGAGTATTTAGTCACAATCAGACAAAAATAATCAAGAGAAAATTTTGTTTTGGATTGAGTGATACTGTGCTAAAACAAGCAGGTATAGCAGCCAGACCTTATTTTTGCTAGATACAAGAAATAACTAAAGCCCCAAAAGAGAATTACATCATCACACAAAACAAATTGTATGCAAGGCATATGTGGGCAAGGAGGGTTTCACTGCATGTAATCTGGAGACATTAGTCCCCAAAAGAAACCACAAAGTTAAGACATAAGCAGCCATATGCCAAGGACATGCTCTTGGAATTTCCAGGAACTGAGCCCTGAGAAAAGCGTGAAGATCACTTTGGGCTGAGCACTACGTAAAAACGGGTTGGAACAGCGAACCGACCTCTGTGTTCAGAGAAGTAAATTCTTTCAAATACACAAATTGCAGAAAGAAATATTCAACTACAGCCTAATTTATTTCTGTAAGAGAAACAGCCTAGTGAACCTGCTCTCTCATTTTTTTCAGTCATAGAGGAATCACATTAGAACCATTCTTTTAAATAAAAAAAAGTCAAAATATTCCCTACAGTCTATCATTCTATATGGAAACAATTCATATCCAAGCATTATACACCATAGTTCATGAAAAAAATGAATTAAAAATGCCTTTTGTTTTATACAGCAGGATATCAGAACTGCCAATAAGCAGCCTGGGTCTCCACAGTCTGCCAGGTAGGGGCAGTGAATCTCACTACTGGCTCTAGATATTTTCCCCTAGTGAGAAATAGCAAGCTTCCACTGTGTACTTCTCTGTAATTTATGCAGTTCACTACCAGATAGATGCAAATCCTGCCATACAGATTATGGAAGAATCATCAACCAGGCACTATTCTAACCAACTTCTTCTCTAGCAGTATTAAAAATGTGATTTTAGCCAGGAGATATTCTGAAACTTGAAAGTTTCAGAAGTCAGCAATCTCTTCTGGCTTGATCTAAAAGTTCAGCTATCTAGATTTGGTGGGGCTTTTGAACACTTCGGCCAGCTATAATTTGTCAAAATGTAATAGGCATATTTATATCGTACCTTGTATTCAGTCTGTGTACCACACATGCATGAAACCCAGGTCTCTAACATCCTGATGCTTTTTCAGAATTATACCTCATTCTGTGCCCAGTATGAGCGTGCTCAATTAATGATATGCTAGTCACTCATTGCTCATTGCTAGTTACTCTCATTGTTCAATGTACAACCCCTTACCATACATACGTATTTATGCTACAGCCTCTTACCTTATTTGTTATTTGAACCTGCCATGAGGACAAAATTATTGTACTCCTAATTCCTATGATGTTTATCACTATGATACCAAAGGCATCAACACACATATGGTTACAACATCCCTGTGAGCTAAAAGGGCAGTTTTATTCCCATTTTACAAAGGGAAGTTGAGGCACAAAAAAACCTATATGCATTTTTATAATTACTTGCTTATGGTCCCCATTTGGTGAGATCCATTAGACAAACAATCTTAATTGTAGCATTAACTAACATTCAAAGATACACTGTATAACCTCACTGACCTTTTAAGGTAGTTTTCAGTGTATAACTTCTTAGTTTTTTTAAACAAAATTGAAAAACAATTTTCATCATATCATTTCTTCTTGTTTATTGTCACCCAGAAGTCATTAACAAAGTTAGAACCCACAGATGGACCATATAAGCCTCTGTCACTTAGGCTCATGGGATGATGCATATCAACAGTAAAGTCTCAGATGCCAGCAAGAGAACTCCAGCCATGATGTCAATGAGAAAAAAGAGTCAGGCTTGCTGCTCTCAGGTCTGACCTCACCTAGATTTGGATCTAGAGAACAGAGCAGCAACTCTGAGGAGATGGAAATGCCTTGTATTTAGAGAGTGGCTGGAAAGCTGCCCAGCAGAAAAGGAGCTGGGGGGGGTGGGCGACAGCCCGCTGGATACGAGGCAGCAGCGTGCCCAGGTGGCCAAGAAGGCCAATGGCATCCTGGATTGTATCCGAAATAGTGTGGCCAGCAGGAGTAGGGAAGTGATCATGCCCCTGTACTCAGCACTGGTGAGGCCGCACCTCGAATACTGTGTTCAGTTTTGGGCCCCTCACTACAAGAAGGACGTTGAAGTGCTGGAGCGTGTCCAGAGAAGGGCAACGAAGCTGGTGAAGGGTCTGGAGAACAAGTCTTATGAGGAGCGGCTGAGGGAACTGGGACTGTTTAGCCTGGAGAAAAGGAGGCTGAGGGGAGACCTTATCGCTCTCTACAACTCCCTGAAAGGAGGTTGTAGCGAGGTGGGTGTTGGTCTCTTCTCCCAAGTAACAAGCGATAGGACAAGAGGAAATGGCCTCAAGTTGCGCCAGGGGAGGTTTAGATTGGATATTAGGAAAAATCTCTTCACTGAAAGGGTTGTCAAGCGTTGGAACAGGCTGCCCAGGGAAGTGGTGGAGTCACCATCCCTGGAGGTATTTAAAAGATGTGTAGATGTGGTGCTTAGGGACATGATTTAGTGGTGGACTTGGCAGTGTTAGGTTAACGGCTGGACTCGATGATCTTAAAGGTCTTTTCCAACCTAAATGATTCTGTGATTCTATAAGTGGATACTTACAAACCACGATTTTTGAAAAGTTTACCTCTCGATCAGTTCTGGGCTCATTTTTATAGCAAGGAAAAAGGAAACAGTTGAAATTTGGCCTGAGTATCAGGTTCCTGCTCCAAAGAACAGTCCTGCATTTACTAGAGCTTAGCAAAGAAAAAGTCAGCAGAACGTTTCTAAAGGGTATATTACTTCTCTCCTACCTTCTTTCCTTGAAACAGCTCAGAGTATTTGATGCAAAACAAAAAAGCCTCAAATCAATACAAGTCTGAAAAAAATTCAGCCTAAACAATTAAAGCACAGCAAAACTATAACCAACTGACAACCAGACTTTATCACAGTAATGTGAAGGAACATAATAACAGAACAAGAAATAGTAATTTCATCCCAGAGCTTTTCCTACACAATGAAAAATACAGTATTAAATAGGAACTCATTAACATAGTGTAACAGTTAAGAATGGAAACATACACTGCTTTCCTTTTTCTTGGTGTGGTGAGAAGCATACCCTTGTAGTGGTGTCATTTTCAGTTTTGTTTTGGAATTGAGAGCACTTCAGGAATTCTGGCCAAGAAGCATTTACCATACCCAGAACTGGTTCACAGCCTTCTTTTGCTGCCTCACAAAATGTCCTGCAGGGCAAGAGGCCTCGACTGGAGAAAAGAGACAGAGAACAAAAATACAAAAGATTATTACTCTAGTAAATTGTGAAATCTTTTTAAAAAGAGAAAAATGTAATATAAACACTTTTGAAGAACGTTATGTTCTACAGAGCTACACCAAAAAGGTGTCAAATCTTCATTATTCATTGACGGTGACATCAGCTCTGGCTTTCAGGCTAAATTTAAGCCCAAATCAAACTCAGAACAGTTTCTAAGTTCAACTCTGTGCACTATATCACCCCCTTTTAGCATTTATGAGCTTTTATGCTATTTCCCCTGAGCAGTCAAAACATACTGAGTGTCAGATCAAATGCAATAAATATCAACGTGTCTTTAATTGTATATTTTTAAAGAAAAGCATTATACATTAGCAATTTTAAAAGTATAACAAGTTTAAATGCAGCATACTTGTCTATTTCTTATTCTGAGATATATACCTGCATATGTATTTCTTCTTTATTCGTCTTTTACATGTACATAGGAAAACCAATTAAAATAGGTAACTATGAACTGTCTCCAGGTCTACATAATTAGAGTCAACAAAGTCAAGCAAAAAATCTAGAAAATCTATTAACATGTTTACTGTAGATCTGGAAAAGGATAAAAACAGTAAAGTTACAAGATTACAGGTAACACAATGCTAGCCAAGTTAGTCAAGATTTTAAAAGGCAAGAAATTTCAAAGAAGCCTCAGCCAAGTTAGTTGATATGTGGCAGCTGTAATTCAGCATAGACTACTGCAGCATAATGCACACAGGAAGGGAGAATTGAACATCCACACATAGAGTTCTCTGCTTTACTGCCAGCTTCCACTGACATTTTATCTGAAAACCATTTTGGTGGAGCAGAGGAAAAGCTCTAGCACAGTCAACATTAGTCTTAGCTACAAAGAAGAACTGTTCAATGCCTTTCCCAGTAAGGATCGGCACCATCTGTGGGAGCACTTCGTTACCTGAGAGCTGTCAAACAGACTAACATGTTACCACTGGAGCACAGAAAGCCTCTCAGTAAGCAGGTGCAATTGCATCCGAAAGTCCACACACACAAGCAAACAACACAGCCCAAATGAGACAGACTGCCTATACAAACACTTCTCTCATCCGTATGACTGGTAAGTCAAAAAGACCCAGCTCTTCTTGCTGGAAAGCAGAAGCACTAAGGCAGCTAGATGGTGGCATCTACTAACACCAACCTGTTCACACTGAATAAATATCAAAACTCCAACTGGACAGCATAATAGCCTTCCATAACCTCTAGAGCTAGAGAGTGCATCATAACCATCAAAAATTAGGAAGAAGAGAGGCCTGGATATATAGTAGGAAAGAAAAGACATCTGAGTGGTCTTCGCCAGAAGACTATGTCAGCCTTCTGGATGAGGCAACAGAAAGAAAACATATAAATGGTTAAAAAGATCTCTCATATAAGTACCTAATGCCCCATCACGACATTTTGTCAATGTGTGGATTCCTTCCTCAAATTTACAGCAGTGCTTTTAGCATTTCTTAAAATATTACAAAAATTTACCAGCAGAAGACTGGGAAGCTAATGTACGTTCGTAACTTATGAATCAATGACAAAAAAAGCAGAAGTTGCATACATGCTCTAAGCAGGAAAGATCTCACTCACATTTAAAACAGTTCAAGTTTTCTCAGGCATAATTAAAATTGGGGCACTTATTCCTAAGAATATAATGAAGAAATGTAACTCTGGCTTTGACTTGCAAGTAAAATAGTATTTTTTTTAAAGCATTATTATGCATTGCTGGCTTTGCTTTATTACAAAATATGACATAAATTGAAATTTTTTTACTTAGCTTGAAATCAATGTTTTGTCATTCAGGAAAAAAGAATGATCAATTTCTAAAACATGCAATGTTTAAAATATGATTAGCTTGTTAACTTAATGTGTATTTATTATATTCTTAATGATACCTCTTACTTTATAATATAATATTTTATTATACACTATATACATATATTTTAAACAGTGAACACCAAGACTGGGAAGGCATGCCTTGTTTTTTATTCATTTTCTTATCTAATTTAGAAATACAGTTGTGAATGTCCACTGTCTTCACTGTCTATAACTTCAGGGCTATCTGCTGAGATTATCAACAGCACTGTAAATAAAGAAAATCAGAGAGTTACTTGTACCTAAACAATTACATCCTTTATCATAACTGTGAGCTGCCACCACCATTACCATACATGATTTTCTTATCACAACCATTAAATTCCAGAAAGATTCCACAGAGGAAGTGATGTAATTGAAGTGAATTTCAGCTAAACAAACATTACACTGACATGGAAGGTGATTTGGCACAATATTTTGAAAGGAAACAAAACTGCTTTGAAGTGTAAAATGTCAACCAGCTCTCAATGGAAAGAACAACATGTACAGAGACCTAGAAATACATGTAATTGTTAAGTATGGCTCTCTTACAGGAACAACTAACACATTCAGAAATGCTTGAGAGAACTTCACCCATATAAGTCCATGGGACCCAAGAGGCTGCACCTAAGGGTCCTGAGCAAACTGTCCAGTGCTCTTGCAAGGCCTATCTCTGTCATCTCTGAAAGGTCATGGACATCAGTTGTTCACAACTAGAAAAAGGCAAATGTTGCACCCATCTTCAAATAAAGGCCAAAAAGGTCAAGCTGGGTAACTTCAAGCTGGTCAGCCTGATTTAGTCCCGAGGAAAATCACAGAGCAAGTCCTCCTTGAACACATTTCTGGACACAGGAAGATGATGATCGGGAACAGTCAGCATAGATTTATCAAGGGTAAATCATGGCTGACCAGCCTGATTGCCTGTTATGATAAAATAACTAGATATGTAGTACTGGGATCTGTCCTGTTTGACATCTTTATCAGGGACCTGGAAGAGATGACCAAGTGTGCTCTTGTCAAGTTTGCAGATGACACCAAACTGTTCCCACAATGTGGGAACAATGTACTTGATGGTAGAGCTGCCATTCAGAGGGACCTAAACAGGCTGGAAGAATGGGCCAAGAGGAAATTTATGAAATTTAACAAGGATGAGTCCTGCACTTGGGAAGAAAGAACCCACTGTAATGATACAGGCTAGATACTGACTGACTGGGGGGCAGCTCTGCTGAAAACAACCTGGGGGTCTTGGTAGACAGGAAGCTGGACATAAGCCAGCAGTGTGTCCTGGCAGCAAAGCAGACCAACAGTATCCTGGCCTGTATCACACAACCACACAGTCAGTATATAATGGGAAAGGATTGTCCCCCTCTGCTCAGCACTTGCTAGCCTGCATGTGAATACTGTGTCCAGTTTTGGCTGCTCCAATACAGGAAAGACACTGACAAACAACAGCGAATCCAGGGGAGGGCCACCAAGCTGGTCAGAGGCTGGAACACTCACCTGCGGGACCGGCTGAGGGAACTGGGCTCCTTCAGCCAGAATAAGAGACAGCTTGGGGGTAACATCAACCACTACGCCCTTCAGAACCCATGGGGAGGGTTATGGAGTCTAGCTATTCACAGTGGTGTATGGTGGGGGGATGGGAGACAACTGACATAAGCTGAAACAAGAGATGTTCAGACAGGATATAAAGAACTTTTTCAGCATGAAATTAGGGAGTGAAACAGGTTATCCAGAGAGGTTGTGCGGTCTCCATCCTTGCATGTTTTCAAGACATAACTAGGTAACGCCCTGAATACATAATCAATGTACTTCTGCTCCACTGAAGAGACAAGGAATATCATGATAACAATGAACAGTTTCAGTAAAATGAAATTACTGTTTGAGCTATTTAAATTTGGTCTGTTGAGGGAAATTCACATAGAAAATGAGAACAAAACTGAAAGAAGTATCACAAACTAACATAAAATAAGGAATTTGAACTGAATATACTGAATTTTTTCATAATGTTGGGCAAACTGCAAATTCTTGATGTTACTGGAATTTTGAAACAACTTGAAGAGCTATTACAGAAGTAGTTACCCAAAAGAAAATAAATTGCCTAGCCAAGAACAATTCAGTATTCTGATATTTTGTTTGAAGTTTCAGAAATAAATACATGTAAAAACACACACACACACTCTTCTAAGTATCATTTTACTTAAAGTAGATTATAGTAAGTCTAGTCATTAATGAAAGTTGTCATATTTGAAATAGCTAATTTATCGCAAAAATATAAATGCATGACTCTGAATCCTTACCATATTCTTTACTGTAAGGATACACAGTCTCCTCAGTGTTCGAAAGGAAACAAAGGGCTATTTCAAGAAATAGGTCAATCTGTCACTCAGGTTTACATCTTGGGGATCGTTGTCAGCCTGTGCATTGTGTCTTCACATCAAGCCCACATTTAGGTCACACATACCACATCTAACATGTTTTCTCCCATACCCCTACAGTGATTAAATTTGCAACATGACATTTTGCAGTTTATATCTAAATTACTGCAGAACCTTTTGGGCTTTAGAAAATGCAATTTTGCTTCATTCATGACCATTCATAATACCATGGAAAAGATCTTTTTCCTAGTACGCCACTTAAATCATATCATCTTTCTTTTTGTGTCTGACTCTTGGTTGTACCTGCCCACCCCAAAAATGTGGCTAGAACTCCATGTTCAGGCACAAGTAAGTGGCGTGTACTGAAAAAGTCCACAGTACCAAACAGTTCCCTTAGTGCCTCATTTTACAGTAATAGAGAAAAACACAGTACTATTAGCAACCGTGTGATACGGCAACAAACCCCAAAAGCAAGGTATAAAAAGCTGCTAGAGCTGCCTGACTACTAGCGGTAACATGAAGAAATTGGTGTAAAGCAAAATATTCACTTGCATAAGTATTCTGAAGTCAGTATGGTTGCCTTTCTCTGCTTAGTAGCTAACAAGAGGAATGTACTGCCAATGTTGTTACTGAGTTCATTACATACTCTAGTTGGAACCACTGTTTCAAAATAGGTATCTTTAGAGTTATATTCTCCAGGTAATGCTAAGGATTTTCACACAAT